CTAATTTTCAAAAACAGTATTTTGATCGTCTATATTGCTTTTTATAACACTAAGACTATTTCGCTAAATTTCATGAGGTTTCTGTATAAATATAAGTGTGTTGAGGTCTCTACGTCACAATGGGAGGGACCGTGACGTAGATTACTCATTTGACGCGCCGTGATCGTGGCTAATTTTCAAAACCAGTATTTTGATCGTATATATTGCTTTTTATAACACTAAATTTAAGACTAATTCACTAAATTTCAGGAGGTTTCTGTCTAAATATAAGTGTGTTGAGTAATCTGCATCACAATGGGAGTGACTGCTGACCGAAGATAAGTTGGCCATGATTACGAAAATTAATGGCAGAATGGTTTTCAAATCGTAATTTCTCTCCCTAGAATTGACTTTCAACTAAAATTATTATTGAAAAGGCTTCATTAATCACTAAAAATTCATATTATAATGAAATAACTGAATATTTTGGGTTTTCAAATTATAGGACGGTTTCATCAGAGTGCTCCTTTAATGAATCTTGCAAGCAGTTCAATTCACATACTTGATCCCGGTTTCTCCACTTCTCTCACAATGTGGGTCATACCAGCTTTGAAACCCACAAAAGCTGTCAAGTGAGGAGGTAAGGTTGGGTCATCCTTGGGAAAGGACTTTATCCTCCCATTATGATGCTTGCACCTCTTACGAGGCAAGAAGCCTAGGGAACCGTGTCTTGGTGCTCTGAACTTCCTATGAGACTAAAGATTGTGCAAATATAGAGTATTAATGAATCTGACAAGGCACCATGAAACAACAAGGAAAGGCTGAAGCTTGCTACTAAAAGAAGGAATGAGTTACTGAGGGAAGGATCAAGTTTTAGAGGGAAACCTTGACTTTAATGGACCCCATATACATAAATATTTCACCTGGTACTGTTGCTCATCATTTAGGAGGGGTGGATTTAGTTCACTGAACAGCAGTTAAAGTTATAACTATCAATTCAAACAAGACCCTACAGAGAGCCTCCAGTCATAATTTCAGGAAATATCTGCAAGGTATTTATCTTTTTCTCTCGACTGGCAAAAATTTTGACGACAACTCAAATTCGTTCAAAGTGAAATATTCACCAATACAAAAAGATTAAATCTTTCAAAGTTGTTCCCTTCCTTCCTAACACCAACAGCCTGACATAGCCCAAAATGAGGGATCGGTCACTACAGGTTTATTTAAAGGAAAAAAACTTTTGATTTAAAGAAAATGGCGTACGAACCGACCGACGAGAGAGATTGCGAAGAGTACGACCCGATGGGAGAGATGGATAGAGATATACCACGATATTTAAAAAATACAAAGTCAATAACTCTATGAGTTTGGTGACTTTTCTATGATACATTAGGAGGGTTTTGAATATCCAAAGATCTGCTGTAGATTACTACATTTACACTCATAACTCGTCCACACGAGCTTGTTAGCCACACGTTAACCCATTGCATAAACCCTTACGATAAATGCACATTTTTAAAGAAATGAAAAAATATCTTATTTTCCATGAGCTACTAACATTTATCGAGAGATACAAGTGCTATTTTGGACAAGATGGTCATCTAATGACAGTTAAATCGGCTGATTTTAACCACATATCTCATAGATTTACCCACCATTTTCTACGAGCACAGGGAAAGAGGCCGTCACCACGTGATCCATCAGCTTTGTCTTCACACAAATGAAGAGGGGGGTACGCTGATTCATTTTGTGAGTCCACGACATCCGCGGAAGTACCCAGTTTCAAGACCTGCTTCAAATAAGTTTCATCAAATATACCATCAGGGATGTCTAGCAGAGAGGATATAAGATAGCTCACTTTTCTTTCTTTTGCAGCAAAGTTCATTTATGACTCTGCGTGTTGCATTTGATGGTTTAGCTATGCCATTTTCAGCTTGTACAGAGAGGAGGGGGACATTGGGGGGGTACCCAATACCACAATACCGTGCGAAAAAATGGCAAATACCGAAATACCGCGTCGCAAATCGACTTGATACTGATACCGCATATTTTAATTACATTTATCATCGGTTCCGCATACTTATGGTTGCTTCCATCTAGCGCGTTTAATTATCTCCGACATTTATGCACATAGATTTTTTTTTTTTTTTTTTTTTTTTTTTTT